TTGCTTTAATGCTGTAGATGACCTGCTGTTAGACTGAAACCAGAACCCTGAACCAGCAGAACGGGAAAGCACAGTAACTCTCATTTACACTGTTCTCCTGAGCAATAGCCTCTCTTTACCCACGGCGAAGACGGTCACGCGTCATGGGGAAGCTGTTCACATGTCATCAGGTCTCTGTTCACTCGGGAGGCTTCTGTTGCTGGTGGAACCCCCTTCCATTCTGGACATCTTCTTTATGTATCCCTTTATGGCAAAGAAATCAGCCTCTTGAAACATGCACCTGTGCCTCTGTCCTGCTTTGCTTATCCACAGTCAGCAAATTTCCTCACATCTGCATAATTGCCGAGTATCTTTTGCTTGAGGCTTATTCAGTTCACCAGCTGTTTTCTGCACAGTCAGTTTACACACTTCCCCGGTGTTCTTTGTATGGTCTGCTGAACACTCCAGATTGTCGATCCCTTCCGAAGTCTAGTCCCTGGAATCAGCTCCATGTTTCTATGTGTTGTCTGGGCAACTCGAAGCAAACTTGGAACATTATTCCCTGATGAATCCTGGACTTCTATTAAAAAGCCTGAGTTAAACGGGCTCTGTGCGTGTGTGTGCATTTGTGTGTGTGCGCGCACGTGTGTGTGTGTGTGCGAGCATGTGTGTGAGTGAGTGTGAATGTGTGTGTGAGTGTGTGTGTGAGTGTGAATGTGTGTGTGTGAGCGTGTGTGTGTGTGTGCACGCACGTGTGTGTGAGCATCTGTGTGCGTGTGTGTGAGTCTGAATGTGTATGTGTGTGTGTGAGCGTGTGTGTGTGAGTGTGAATGTGTGTGTGAGCATGTGTGTGTGTGCATGCATGTGTGTGTGAGCGTGTGTGAGTGTGAATGTGTGTGTGTGTGAGTCTGTGTGTGAGTGTGAATGTGTGTGAGCGTGTGTGTGTGCATGCACGCGTGTGTGTGAGCGTGTGTGTGTGAGTGTGAATGTGTGTGTGAGCGTGTGTGTGTGAGTGTGAATGTGTGTGTGTGAGCGTGTGTGTGTGTGAGTGTGAATGTGTGTGTGTGTGTGAGCGTGTGTGTGTGTGAGGGTTTTTTTTTTTTGCAACACAGGGTCATTTTGGTCATTTTGAATTTAAGCTCAACTAAAAGC